CAAATGAAGATTGTGCCCACTCCCTTCTAGCTAAGCAATATATATCTGGCTTAGCAATATATCAAAACCAGGGATCAGAGTATATTCTGTTCAAACAAGCTATGATTGGAAAACCAAGAACAAACCTTGGCTTAACATTGTGGCTCATTCGATGTAGCTTGTTTTATCACATCTGGCCTGGACCACAGTCTCAATTATTAGCTGTTTTCTAGATTTACTTTACTAGATTTATTTACTGGCATCTCAACCCTGAGCTTCATTTATTTACTTACAGGTATCCCCTATTGATTCCTATGAAACATAGCTCTGAGTAAAGTATTACTTCTTTAAAAGCTTGCAAAAAACAGACATTTGAAGATTTATCAAGTAAACCTGGAAAAAGCTAATGTCCAACTAGAGTACAACTAAAGAGAGACTCTAAAACAATCAATTCCTTTTACTGCAGTTTTAAGCAACACTTTGCCTGTTAACTCTGAAGCAAAGATTCTGGGCTTAATACACTGGTGAAATTGTTCTCAAACAGCTCATCTGTGTGAAAACATGACTGCTGTAAAACTGCCAAAGTGAGAGCATACAAGTACTAATCATACAAGCTCGAACGGTTTGTGAGCTGCTTGAACCTAAATGCCAATGGTTCTATGGTTTGAATTAAAGAGGCCTTTAAGTTAGACCATTTCCATCTTTTTGCCTGCCTCACTAGAAATAAGTATTTCCTCCACATGCCACTGGCAGCTTTCCCTTATATCTAGACGAAACTACAGTCCCACTTTTAGTTACACAGAAGTGTTGAGATAGAGTGGTACCTCTGGATGCGAACGGGATCCGTTCTGGAGCGGGTTGCGATTCGCCGCTTCCGTGCATGTGCGTGACGTCATTTTGAGCATCTGCGCATGCGGCAAAACCCAGAAGTAACACGTTCCGTTACTTCCGGGTCGCCGCAGAGCACAACCCGAAAATGCTCAACCCGAAGCTACTTCAACCCGAAGTATGACTGTACTGTAATGTTTCTTCCAGTATTTTAATCACACCATTTTTGAACTACCAGGTCTGGAAGTTGGAATTATTTAAAAAGTAATACTTAGCTATAAACCACAGAAACAACAAGCATGCATTCTCCTTTATTATTCCTCAAGTTTCAGGAACTGAGGAAAAATAGGCTTTCAGTAACATGTATGTCAGTGTATGCTACTATGCACATACATTATACATGCAAACTCACAAGATTTAGACACCTCCAGCAGTAATTCAGTCTATAAATCTAAACATAAATCCTAGAGACTAGGATCACAATCCTTGTCTTTACTGAATACTTAGTTTCAAATAAACATGCATAGAAATGTAAGTAAGTTAAAATAAGTTCTATCCCATTTTCCAAAAAGTTCAAAGCAAATAAAAAACAGTAAAAAGATATAAGCAGTCAAAAACAAGTCAAAGAAGCTGCACACAAATACACATCTCAATTAAAAGCAGACAGTTGAATCCAGACTGTCATTTAACTCATGCCCTGTTAGTCATGACTAACTTTTCTCACCATTTCAGTGAGCTCTAACGGCAACTGACCTCATCTAGATCTAAACTAGCAGCTACAAATATATTTTTTGAATGTAATTCAATTTCCTCATTTGATACATTTTTAATAAAAACTCTCAAAAAGACTAAATACACTCCGAAGAGTCAAATAGGAAAAAACCAGAGTTCATCAAAGCTGCTGGAGTTCAAATAACTTCCTAAGAAGTTAAGTATTCACATAATGTAAGAGGAGGCCATCAAAGAAGGGGCAAGGTAGCCACAGAAAAGGCTGTGTGGATTGTGTTGCAAGTTCCAATACATTACTTTAGAATAATCATGTATGAATCTCAGTTACAGTGGTACCTCGGGTTAAGAACTTAATTCTTTCTGGAGGCCCGTTCTTAACCTGAAACTGTTCTTAACCTGAGGTACCACTTTAGCTAATGGGGCCTCCCGCTGCCGCTGTGCCGCCACCGGCAAAGTTCTTAACCTGAGGTACTTTTTCTGGGTTAGCGGAGTCTGTAACCTGAAGCGTCTGTAACCAGAGGTACCACTGTACTCCTTTCTATACCAATACTGTATATTAACTTGTTTTATGAAAAATGTTCAATGAAAAAATGCTGTTATCCATGCTCTGTTGACAGCTTATTTAAAGTACTTCAATGTATTGTTCAAGGAGCTGCTTTTGAGAACCACTTTGGAACTATATGCAAAATACAGGAACAGGTTTCCTAACTGAATTAGGTGCATGGAACTTCCAATTCTCAGACAGCCAGACACCAGCTCTCTGTCTTTTCATGGGACAATGTCAAGTGTTGGTTTTAACCTTTGAAGTACTAAACAACTTGGGAACAGAGAATCTAAAGAATCTCCTCCTCCTCCAATTGATCTGGCTTGGCATTAGGTTACTGGTCCTAGTCATTAGAAGGTAGGTGGTGACCAAATTTAGTGTCCCCTCAATCAAGGCACTCTGCCTCTTAATTCCCTCTCTGGAGAACTTGGCCAGTAACTATTCCTGCATTCTTTTTGATGCTATATAATCTGTTTGGGGCTTTTAGATCTTTTAAATGTATTTTATGGTATGAATGAATCTTACTCTACTGTATGTTACAGCTATTTTAATATAATTTTATATTTGCTTTAACTTCCTGTAAGCCACCCAAGCTTTAGCAGTACAGCAGCTATATAAATTCTGAAATCTTGCCAAGTATCCTGTACCACTCTTGCAAATAGGCTTTCCTAATGCTTGGTCTATGTTTTACTATTTCCACCTATTTAGTTCAAAAATATTTTTCATGCCATCAGTATCAAAGATAGAAAATGGAGAATTCAATTTTTCTGTCATTTTCTCTCATTTTTCCCATCACTAAGCTACCACAGTCATTTCTTAACCAACGAACATGCCTTCTTGTTTGCCTTGTTTTTCAGAACCCATTGCTATTATATTTAACTTTCCAATATCTATTTTCCCCTCAATATTTTCTACAAAGTATATACTAAGAATATAAGGGTCAAACCAACTATTAAGAGCCCTTATCAAAAATTGTTTTCCTGGAGGGCTACGTTGAGATGTGTGGGAGGAATGTTAATTGACTATCACATTAAGCAAACTCCCAGCAAGTTCTGTACATATTTCTCTTTTATCATTGCTGGGATGTGTCAATTGGGAAGCTAGGTAGTACCTCTCAACAGCCAGCCTCTAGACTAGAGCATACTGTGATTCTGCTATTCACTCTGATACAGCTTTTAACATTTTGCAACACACTATTGTTTATAAGTACAGTGGTACCTCAAGTTACAAACACCTCGGGTTACAAACTCCGCTAACCTGGAAGAGTTACCTCGAGTTGAGAACTCTGCCCCAGGATGAGAACAGAAAGCATGTGCTGACGGCACAGCAGAAGCAAGAAGCCCCACGCCTCTAGTTAAGAACAGTTTCAGGTTAAGAACGAACCTCCACAACGAATTAAGTTCATAACTAGAGGTACCACTGTATTTAATTTGGGATGCTCTATAAATCCCAGATCTTTGATTAGAGTATTAATATCCAACTAATTATCTCTTTGGACTTCAGCATCATACTGACATCTTAAATCCTGCCAAAGGAGCTCACAGTTTCATAAGAGATCTAAGAATTTAACTATTTCCTTGGTCTTAGCCTCAAGCATAATAAACTGAACTGGATATACAGTATTTGTCTTTAACAAGCAGCCAAAAAACTGTTTGTGAAGGATGGCTATGAGCAAGAAGTCACTATGTCACATTTTCATGGCTGTTTCATTACTGAACACTTACTCCAGCTGGGAATGCCTACAAGATGAAATTATTTTATATAGTATTACTGGTAAGCAGTTTGTTCTCAGTAGTCAATTTCCTATGAGGAAAACACATCCAAGATGAAGACTGCCTATATAGGTACAAATGTAATCAAATAAATGTTGCTGTTAAACTCAGACGTGATAAAGACCTTGCTTCTTCCAAGGCTAAATGCCAATCTTTGAAGTGGAGGACATGTTTCCTTCATTACAGGGCTGTGAAGGCCAAAAAAAGGTGCATGGGCTAGAAAGTGCAAGGCCAAACCTCATGCAAAAATCCAGACACTTTTTTTTTAGTCGGAGAATGTCACTGACGGAGATTCCTCTTTGGAAACCATGGCTGCCCACGCGCATCAATCTCAGCCAGGGACACTACTGTATAAGTTACTTCTGCATGCTCCACCTCGGATTCTCGTTGCATCTCTTCGCACCGACAGTCTACCGGCGAATTTGTTAAAACAGACACGAGCGAGAGCGTGTTTGTTAAAACAGGCACGACAAAGACGTCGGCTGCTTTTGCAGGCAAGGCAATCTCGTTTGCCCGAGCCGGGCATAAATAAGCTCTCTCTTCCCCACCCCCCACAAGGAGGGCCCGCTCATCACCCCGCACACTTATTCCCTTCTGCTTGCTATATAATATATATATATTCCCCACCTCTTAAGAAATAAGTCAAAAAGATCGGAGCAGGTGACGAAATCAAAGGCGCCGCTATCGGCGCCAGAAGACCAGCATTAGGAGAGATTTTTTTAAAAGGAATCACGGCCGCCGGCGAAGAGCTCCCGGCAGACACGCCGGGTCAATGGCCACGGATCGCCCTCCTCTCGCGCGGGTGGCGCCTGGGAGGAGAGAGGGGCGCCGGGCAATGGAGGGGGTGGGTGGGCCGGGCAATGGGGCGGACTGAGGGAGAGAAGAACGGGGACAAAAATCATACCGGGGAGGGAGGGAAAACGGGCCGCCAACCAGGAATAACAACAGGGCAGGCAGGCGGCGGGGGCGAATGCGGGGCCCCCGAAGAAGGGCGAGAGGGCCGCGCGCGTGCGCTGGGGCTGGTGGAGGGGTCCCTCCCCGCCTCGCTCTCCCCAGAGCGCCTGCGCTCCCCTCACCAGGGTGACCCCCCGGGCTCGCCCTGCCTTGGCCCGCGGGTCCCCTCCGCCGCCGCCGCCTCACGCCGCTACCTCATCTCTGTCGGGTCTCGGGTGTCCTCTTCACCCCCACAGCAAGGACGGAGGGGCGGCAGGAGGAGCGGCAGCCGGCGCGGCAGCAGCGGCAAAGGCTACCGCCTCCCCGAGACGCACCATCCCCGCCCGCGTCTGCTCTTGCTATAACCGCCGCCGCCGCCTCAGAGTCCCCGCCGCTGTCTCGGGCGGAGTGGGGTGGGGGAGGCGCGTGTGGGCGGAGAGAGGGAAAGAGAGAGGAGCGACCTGCCCGGCTCTCCCTCTCTCGCACACCCGCCGCCTGACTGCGCAACCCGAAGAGAGGCGCAAATCCCGAGGCAGCCAACCAAGCCCTCGCCCAGCCCGCAGATCCCACCCCTCTCCCGATGACGGACGCGCCCAGCCACCATTAGGAGAGGGGAACATTCCGCCGAGTTGGTCGCCGAAAGCGCGCTCTGGGAAAGAGGAGATAAGCCCAAGGGCGCGAGGTGAGGGGAGAGCCGAGGAGGGCGCGCAAGTTTCGCACGGGCCGGTAGCAATTGTGTGAACGAAAGGGAACCGAGCGAGGCTGGATGTGACGAGAAAGAAGCACGCCTGGCGTTCCGAAAGTCATGCTTATTGAAAGGAGACCGCGGCGAAGCTGACTTGCCTCCCATCCTTATTCTGTCTCTCACACGCCTAGTACGGCTTTTTATTGCCCACTCAGTAATTGGAGAGGCGCTGCATGCTGGGACCAATGAGGCAACCCGTGCTGCAAGGCTTGCTGGGAATTGTAGTTTTAGCAGGCCAGGAACTCCCGTCGATAAGCTATTAGAGCGCGCCGCTCCGGAGGGCTCCTCTCGTTTTTCCCTCGGTCCCCCGCCCCCCCGTATAGAGTGACAGCCGTTTTGGCCAATTGGGATCTGCGTTTCTGCGCTGCTCCGTTCTAAGGCATTCCAAGCTAGGATTCGCGCTCCCGCGAGAATCAGAGAGAGGGGCCTAAGAAGAGGTAATAGGTTTGTCATGACAACCACCCGGGTCTCTTCTGCGGGGCAAGGGGATGGGCGCGCGAGGCAGAGGGAGCGAGCAGGGCAGCGCTGATCTTTGTGGCGCCTTCAGCCCTCGGGACCTGCAGCCGCCCTTCTTTGACCTCCCGTAGCTGTTCAGCATCCGCACTTATTTCCAGTCTTGCTAAAGAAGGGCGAGGTTCCTGAGCTCGGGAGGTTCCCTGCAGCTATTGCTCATCTCATATCCTTCCCTTTAGCTGGTGGTGGGAAATCAAGATCTTGCAATTTTGCATTTAAGAGATCCAGTAAAGTACAGGCACTATGGTAGGGGCATTTGCTTATTTTGTTTACGCACCGGTTTATTTCGAGAACGTTATACCCTTCTCTTCAGAATAGAACTGAAGCATAGACTAAAATGCAGTAATAGGATAAAATAATTTAAAAAGTGGAGTTTCCAAAACATGCCAGCGATTGCTAAAGCAAAACACAATGCACCAGCAACGCTTCACTTAGAGAGGCACACTTAATTGGAAAGTGAGTCCCATTGAATGGAACTCAGCTGAACCTTTGAATAAATGTGCTTTGAGTAGTATTGTGTAAAATGTCTAAAAGGCTGGCACAAATTGAAAGGACTTCACCTGGTGCTGAAAAGGCATTAAGCCCAGTGTCTGGCAAATATGCAAAAAACAAGGCCCTACAACTGCAAAGCCTTGTTTGGCTCACAGCCCACTTCCCATCTGAGGTTAGGGGAATCCAGAGGAGTGGCTCCACAGGTAGATCTTACTGACCAATAAAATCCAGATGGGCCTGCTTAGAATAAAATAGGATATCTGCAGAAATTTCCAATTGAGACCTATAAATATCTTTTCATGCCATTTCACTTATTCAGAATTCTTGTGCTTTTATAGGGTACATTGGATAAGTAACCGAGAAGTGCTTAAGAGTGAGATGGAAGATGAGGAGTTACAGGATTGAGGATGAATGAAATGCACAAGAAACAGTAAAGGTTTCAGACAAATAATCCTTACTAAGTGGGCCATCTTAACCTAATAGTTCAGATTTACAAATTATATTAGGTGCTGTGTGTGACAGTGTATACACCACCTTCCATTTCCTTGTGTATACTGTATACGCATATTTTAGATAATTAGTAGTCCCATCACAAGCTGCTCCTATCTGTAGTCTTCAAGTACCATACCATCACTTCATTTTTTCTGCATCCGTTTGTCTGCAGAGAGTTGTGGTTTTGCTTTGGACGAACTGTGCTTATACAGATGGTTGGCTAGACTTGGGCATTGAATCGTACAAACTGAGCACACCTTAGAATATACTCAGTGCTCTTCAGGATTTGTGCTTTTAAGAAAAAAAGATCAGTTATGGTAGGTACTAGCCAAGCTGAGAATACTTCTGGGTAAAGGTTGTTCATTCCATTGGAATAAATGGTGATCGTAAAAATAAAAAGTTTTGAGTTTGTGGTAAAATTCTACAGAAATGTTTTACAATTAATTTTCAATTTCTTGTAGTGCAGTCCTATATATTTTTTCTAAGACGTAAGTCCCATTGGGTACAATGAGACTTTCTCCTTGGTAAGTGAGTGTAATAATGCAACATGAATCAACTTAGTGTTGTTCCCATTTTTCAGATGAGTGAAATGAAACAGATGGTGATTTATCCCTAAAGCTAGTAAATGAGTTTCTTTCTTAGATTTCCCAGAACTAGGCCCAGCATGCTGTAATGTAATAAACTACTCCACGGTTAAGAAGTCAATGTATATTCATGAAGTATCTTTGAATTAGGGAAGGAAATTAAAAGAAACAGGTAAATGTTTTTCAAACTGTGATCGGAAGAACCTTTGAGTTACCGGTACTTAGAAGTTTATCAGGGTTTATTGATAATTGCTGATCAAGACTTACATTACTAAAGCAGGCTTTTCCAATAAGAAAAATGTTGCTTGTATTGCTCAATCATAGAATCATTGTAGGGTTGGAAGGGACAACAAGGGTCATCTAGTCCAACCTACTGTAATGCAGGAAAGTGTTGCCCAACATGGGGCTCGAACCTGAGATTAGGAGTCTCATGCTCTACCAACTGAGCTATCGGGGCATAATCAGAAGCATAATTTTTCTGTGGAGCTGATGTTATGAGGTGACGTATCTTTCTAATGGATAATAGTACAATATTATAACAGGAAGTTTTAAAAATTCACCTCTTTTGATTTGCTCTTTCAGTTATCAGAAACAGTGGTAATAACACAGATTTTATCTGTGATCTCTAAATTTATACAAAACATATAAAGTCTTTTATTTAAAATCTATTTAGAAACACTTGGAAGTATCTAATGAAACAGTTCCTAGTGCAAGCACTTTTGGCAGAGCAACCAAACTTTCTCACCTAATTTGTTCTGGGTTTTCCTGCAACGCTCCAAAGCAGATTTGTGGGACAGGGGCACAAGGAGAGGAAGAGGAAGTTTAATTGCTAAGTTCAAAGTGCTTGTGTTAGCAGAACTGATGAGTTAGATATTGGCCTAAATTCGTATTTAGGTATTTCATTTCCCGCTCTATATTTTAAAGGTCGGAATGAAAGGCTTATATTGGCAGCAGAATTCATCTGGAGAAGAGACCACTTTTGTTTTCCTGGAAAAGGTAAGTTATTTGCTTAAAGAAATATAAGACTGCATACACATCTAAAATATGTGATGCCATAATTTGTTTTAGAATAATGACAGCTTGCCATCTCATGTGATCTTGGACAAATTGCGGCTAGTTGAAAGAAGCCAACTTCAAACTATAGTTTATAAAATGTCTTGATACAGCAAAGTGTTAAGACGAACCACAGTTTTCTGTTTAGCTTAAACAGCTAAGCTAAAGTTAACCTAAAACAACAGCAGAAACTTCCACTCTCCTTGCACTAGCTCCAGAAGAGACTTCTAGACTTATTCTTGTAATTCTGAACCATGGTTTAGCATTACATCTAAATGCCATCCCATCTCAGTTGACTTATAATGGCCAACCCATGGTTTGGCCTTTGGGGTGTGCTTTGGACTTGCATGCTCCACTTTCTGTCTCAAGCTTAGATTCCCTTCCTTCCTGGTTAGCATAAAACTGTATTTAGGCAGAATTAGAAGTCATACTTTGAAGTGGATTTCCAAGTGCTGCATGCAGGTGAACTATAGTTTGAACACACCATAATTTGTCTGGTTCAGATCTAATTATAAACTATGGTCTGCCTAAATCATGACATGAGAAAGTGGACTGTATGTGAGGACTCAGAGTGTGAGCCTGAACAACATGAGAAAGTGGACTGTATGTGAGGACTCAGAGTGTGAGCCTGAACAACAGCCCTGGTTGTCAAACTATGGGTTGGCCGTGAGTTATGAAGAAAGACTTGCCGGTAGATTTGACTTAACACTTTTCAAAGTGGGGAAATTATACAACAAACAAATTACCTTTTTTTAACTTTGAAACATCTGAGTTCAGTAACTGGGTTTTTTAAATTTGCTTCTCAATCCAGTTAACAAAATACATGAGAAAATAGCTTCAGAACCAGAAATATTAAAACATGCATTCCACTTTTGACTGACAGAACAATCCTATTTATGTCTGTGTTCATGATTGGAGCCTAAGATGGAGAAAAGAATATCAGACGTATAATCAGAATTGTAAAAGGTTTTTTTACTTATTTATAATTTACAACCCGTTGTAATAATTGCATATAGTACAGCATCCCTTTCCTGGATTTATTATAAGGTCACTTTTTCACTTCCTTCTCAAAGAGGAAAGTGACTTGGAAACTTGGAGTTAACTGCCTGAATCAGAAGAATTCAGCGTAATATTTCCATAGAATTTAGTTCATTTGTGTGTGTGTTGCATTCTATGTATTGTTACTAAAGTCATTCCCTAGACGTAACTTGTACATAATCTTCTAAGTAGCTTTAAAACTTTGCAGGGTAGGATTGCAACACAGTGCATAGGAACAGAGGAAGCTGCTTTGCTGAGAGAGCCAATGTGGTGTAGTGGTTAAGAGCGATAGACTCGCAATCTGGGGAACTGGGTTCGCGTCTCCGCTCCTCCACATGCAGCTGCTGGGTGACCTTGGGCCAGTCACACTTCTTTGAAGTCTCTCAGCCCCACTCACCTCACAGAGTGTTTGTTGTGGGGGAGGAAGGGAAAGGAGAATGTTAGCCGCTTTGAGGCTCCTTTGGGTAGTGATAAAGCGGGATATCAAATCCAAACTCTTCTTCTTCTTCATATCATTGGCCTCACTAGCTAAGTAGCGTCTACACTAATGGGCAACAGCTTTCCAGGATTTCACACGGGGTTGAGTCCCAGCCCTACATGAAAATGCAGGGGGTTGAATCTGGGACTTCCTGTATACAAAGCTCTACCGCTAAGCTACGTTTCTCACTATAATCTAGGGGAAGGGAAGAACTCTATCCGCAAAACCAGTTAAGCTGAAATACCTAATTGTGACATACTTACATGTCCTATAGTGGGTGAATCATGTCAATTCAATCGTAGGATAACCTTCCTGTCACAAGAGACAACTATGTGAAAGTGCAAGTGAAAGCCTGTGCTCTAAGTTGGATCAATGATAAGGTACTTGTATTATTTTACTTCATAGAAAGTAGAACCTATGAACCTGCTCTTTGATTCAAATACGTCAAAATGCTGTTAACCCATTCTGGTGGCATAAGGCAGGGATGGTGAACCTGTGACCCGCCAAGGGTTGTTGGGCTCTGACTCCCATGATCTCCAGCCAGCATGGGATGGGGGGAGTTGAGGTCCAACAACATCTGGAGGGCCACACATTCCCATCCCTGGCATAAGGTAACAGAGGCACCCTTATAATTTACAGCGTAACTCTCTATACGTTTATTTACAAGGAAGTCAACAATGCTCAGTGGAAGTTACTTACAAGTAGTATGTTGGTCCAACAGTCAAAGTAACTGCTATTTATATAAGGTGCCCCTTTTCAACTAAAGGATCACCTTTTACTGAAATCTACCTTATTCAACTATGTAAAACAGTAGTATAAATGAAGGAGGGGGTTCTAAGACCCAAATGGCTGGCTTCCATACCACTACAGCATGGGTAGGCAAACTAAGGCCCGGGGGCTGGATCAGGCCCAATCGCCTTCTCAATCCGACCCACGGACAGTCCAGGAATCAGCGTGTTTTTACACGAGTAGAATGTATGCTTTTATTTCAAATGCATCTCTGGATTATTTGTGGGGCATAGGAATTCATTCTTTCTTTCTTTTTTTCTTTTCAAAATATAGTCCGGCCCCCACAAGGTCTGAGGTACAGTGGACCGGCCCCCTGCTGAAAAAGTTTGTTGACCCCTGCACTACAGCCATTACTGGGGGGGGGGTCCCTGTTAGAGTTGGCCCACACAATAGGCACAGTTGACAGTGAATTGTCCTTGTTTTCAGCAAAGTTTGTGCCCCACTTCTACAAATGTTTGCTGTTGGTGTGGAGATTCTCCACATTATGAATGATAATTGCAAGGATGATCCTTGCTCTACGTGTTATGCCTCCTTCAGCTACCATGTAGAGGCTGGATCAAGCGCCATTCCCAGGACTGCATATAAATTGGCTCTAATAGAGGCTTAAGTGAATGCTATCTGCCCACACTTAAAGCTAAGCACCCCCTCGGGTACGCTGGTTAGTTCTATGGTCCCATAGTTGTAGAAATCAGTTGGACAACATGTACCCCATCGCTTCTGGGATTAGAGCTAGTGTGCTGTGCTAAGTATACAAATGTGTGCAGCATAAAGACCTGTCTTACTACATTTATCTGCCTCTTAGAACTTCTCTAGCTTACTATGTTTTTTTTTAAAAAAAATACATAATTTAAAAATTAAAAGCGGATTTATGTGTGATTTTTCTTTTATTTGTTAGTGCAGGGTTTTTTTGCTTTAGATGGGTATCTGGCCTGCCCATAACATGAACCGTTTTATCTTGTATTGAAGAAGAAATAAAATAGAGAGGGAACAAAGCAAGGAAAATTAAGGCTTTTGCCAGGTGTTACTGCCATTATGACATGATTTATTAAAATTATTAAAAGCAAAGGATGTTGTGTGTGACATTTTCATAGCATTTCAATAATTAGATAAATAACTAAACTACTAAATCATTTTTTAATCATTTTTGTACATAGAGAAGACAGAACATGGTAACTGTAAAGACCTGGGGTTTCATAGTATCATCATGTTACTCTAAGTTCCTGTGGAACTTACTTCAAGAAAAATGTGTGTATGATTTCAGCCTTACTGGACTATCCTGTATTAATCTGCCATTAAATGTTTGGTGGGAGGCCGTAATAGCATTTTACTGTACTAATATGTACTCAACATTTATTATTCTTTACAGTAGGCATTCTAACCATTATTTGACTTAGCTTTTGTCAGAAATCAAGATCAAGAAGGAGTTTCTACCTGTTGGGAGGGAAATTGCTGGTGTTGTGTTGGAGAGTGAGTATACAAATTAGTATAATGTTGCTGTTTTCTTTGGCAATGAAAAATGCCTTGTAAACATTATTTGTACTATACAGCATTGAACCCCATTAATCTTCTCAACATGAAACCCAGTTCCTAACATTCTGTTACCTTCTCCTGACATTCGGTCACGTTACAGTGTGGCTAAGAAACAAGCCACAGTGGGGCTATGCTGATTGTTAATGGCTGGGTTTATTAGGGCCACTTGAATTCCCGAGTGCTTCCGTTTACTTTCTTCTATATAAATATTTTGTTTGTGAATTCCTGGAAAGTAGTAACATGCCTTATGGGTTCTATAACTGAGAGTATGAAAATCTCACCTTATCGTTGAGGTCAAGGACTTTCATCTATGGCTTTCTGTTACATCTGAAGAGAGGCAAAGAAGTGACTTGGCACATGGCTGAGCAAAATTCTTGAGTAGGCACCTACAGGCTTTGGGAGAAAGGGGACAGTGTGTTTCTATAACTTCTCCCCATTAAAAGAACCCCAAGGCGCTAGAAGAATAAAACATGCAGACTCTGCAAGAGCTCTATGTTGGATACTGTTTCTTGGTCATATGACAGAATGGGGGGGGGGGTCACAGAAATCCACACCCTACTAATTCATCTCATGAGCAGAGAAGCTGACCTGACCTTGCTCTGCCCTCTGCAAACACAGCAAGCTCAGTGATGAATTGGGTGGCAAGGAAAGGCATTAGAGTTCCTTTTCCTTTCATCCCCTGCCATCTTGTCCATTATTAAAAACTTTTACCGAAGGACACGACAGGACTCCCTTTTTCAAATGTGGTTCAAGCCCTTTTTGCTGTGAAGTGACAGTGGCCTCCAGGCCCTACTGAAGCATTCCTGATCTCTGAACATCTGGAAAACCCCAGAGTCTGTTCTATGGTCTGATGCCGTTCTGCTTTATTATGGCTCAGACAGAGGTGAGAAACCATCCCTTCCAGGTGGTCTCCTAAACTGGACCCTCCTGTCAACTAAGTTTGCATTGGTTGAGGCTGGTAGAAGTTAGGAAGGAGTTGCTTTTGCATTTGGCTGTTTCTTTTCGCCCCACTCTCCTCAGACAGACCTGCCCAACCTGTGATCTACCAATTCAAACAGAGACCACCAATCATGCCCTGATGCTTTCACAGTCCTAGATAGACAGAATAAACAGGAGCTTTATCAAACTTTTGGTTCTTGTATCACATGTTGTGTAGCCCTGCTCTAAGAAATTAGGAACTAGGGATAGGATCCTGAGTGGACTGCAGATACACCCAGTTACACTTCCCTTTGGCTGATTAACATCCAATGAATGCCCTTTTAAAATGTGTTGGGGAGGGGGAAGTTTATTGAGTTTTTCTCATTTTTTTATTATGTATTTTGTGTTTCTATGTTATGATCTTGTCGTGAACTGCCCTGAGATCTGCAGGTATAGGGCGGTATACAAATTTAATAATAAAATAATAATAATTGTATGAGAGTGTTGAATTGCCTGTGCTTTAGGGTCAGAAGAGCTTTTTCCCAGGTCCTGCTGGTAATGACTTCAGGTATTTTGCGTTTCTCTGTGCCTTGTGATTCAGCTCATTTGAAAGAGTCACTTGGGTTTTTTCCCTTGTAAGTACCTTTCTGCCAGGGCAGCCGGTTTCTGTTTGTTGAGGAAGTTGAAAGGGAAAGCAAAGAGGGTCAAATAACTCCAGAATGCATGGAAGTTATTCAGAACCACATTAAAGAAGCTCAGCTAGAATATATACCACAGATCAGGAAAGGTACCACTGAGGCCAGGTGGCGAACAGTGTTTTTAAGAGTTGAGGAAGTTATTGGAGGCAAGAAAACATAAGTCTTGAGGAGAACTAAAAGGAGCACAAACTTCCTCAAAATAAATGCAAGCAGACATTAAAAACAATTAATTGAAGAGTACGTTGCTAAGAACACTAATGGAAAGAACAAAAAATGTAATTAAATACATTATTAGCAGGAAACCAGCTAGGGAAGTAGTTGAATGACAAGGGAGTCAGAGGTGTGCTAAAGGAAAACAAGCAGACTATAGAGAAGCTGAATGGTTTCCATCTGTCTTCACCATGAAAAATGTAGGGCAGATTCCTATTATTAAACTAAGCGTGAGCTGGAGTTAGGGTAAACGGTGAGATGGCCAAGCTTGCTGATTACATCAAGAGGTTAAGAACAAACTAGGTAAATGGGCATTAAAATGGCAATTGTGATTCACTGTAAGCAAGTGCAAAAAACCTCAAAACCAAATAAAAAAAACCTGCCAACATAATAATTCCACTGTGCAAATCTGTTGTGCGATTGCATTTGGAATACTGTCCTGCTCTGGTTGCTGTGCTTCAAAAAAAGGATACATAAGGTTCAGAAAACACCAACCAAAATGATTATGGGGCTGAAACAACTGTCCTGCATTTGGGGCTTTTTAGTTTATAAAAAAAAGGTTTGTAAGGGGGTCTTGACAGGTGCACAAAATTATGCATGTTGCAGAGAAAGTAGAAAGAAGCTGTTCTCCTCAGTACTAGAACCTCAGGTAGTTCAATAGAGTGGGACAATGAGAAGCAAACCAAAGGAAGTCCTTTTTCCCCTTCCTCCTCCTTCATGGACACAGCAGCAGATGGTGTGTGATAGAGCTTATCTGATCACCTGGCAGCAGAGTTGCTGCTTACCTGATAGTGGGAGGGGCAAAGCAGCAGGGAGGTTAGTGCTGTTCAAACACACCTACAGGCAGGGGCAGAATTTACACCCACACACACCCTGGTGTTTTTATTTGTATTATTTTATGCACCCTTGGCTCAGCAGCCTGGCATTGCCAACAGAAGTACCTCATTGGCTCTGGAGGTGTGTTTTCACAGCACTGACCTCTGTGAAGCCTTGACACCCTCCCCCCTATCCTGGTCAGCAGCTGCAACTCTGCTGCCAGGAGATGGGGTAAGTGGCGCCACCACACCCTTCCTTCTGCTGCTGCTTAACATGGACTTTCACTACCTCTTCACTGACATCTGCTTGGGGATCAGGAATTGCAGGAAGTTTGCCTTGTAAATTATTGTTTTGCAAATACAGTTTTCAAAGTATAGTAATTTCTCTTGGTTTTTTTTATTTAAATCCCTTTATTTTCTTTTGTTCAAGCTGGAAATAAAGTGACCTTCTTTCAACCAAATGATGAGGTAGTCGGTAAGTTGCAGTTTTCTAATCCAAGCAGTGAATACTTTTTAAGTGAAAGAACTGCATTGGGTTAGAATAGCCTTCCTTAGCCTGGGGTTCTCCAGATGTTCTGGGCATCAGCCCCAGACAGCACAACCATATTTTTAGCTTCCCACTGTGACACAGGTGAGGGGCTAGGCCAAGGGATGGTGACATGTCTGAGGCTAATGATCCTTATTTCTGCATCCAAATTGTATATGTTGACATGGGGCTACATGCAAACAAATAGCAAATTAAAATAATCAGAAATTTTAGATTTCTTTTACTTTTTAAATCTTAAGTATTAATTTGCATTTTTATGAGAATCCCCATGATGCATTGATGTGATAAATTTTGTATTGAAGAATACATAGGAATTGTTAGCAGTAAAGTCAAAACTTAGCTATATTAAGGTGATCCTTTACCTATGTGAAAATGATCCACCAATGCAATTTGGACTTCTTTCCACCTATATCATCTCTTTACTTCAATATTGTGAGCAGATAGTGTAACAAACTGCTAGTCTGAACATGCCCTAAGGCAGGCTTTGCTATGTACACATGAGTAAGCTTCCTGGAACTGCGCATAATACATGTTCATTTCATTAATACTGAGTTCCATAACTATCACTCATTGGTACCACAGTGCACTGTAAAGTTCTTTCATAAAAGGGTAAAAAAAGAGGTGTTTGAGTCTGAGCCAATCTGTTATCACAGCAGAAGCGACACTTAGGGTAGAGCTTCCAAATTTTACAGCTTCATCCCTTCCAGCTGCATTATATAGAGGTGACAGAAGCTAAAGGTGATGGGCAGACTAATGATTAGCAGCACAATCCTAAATATATCTAGTGAGAAGCAAGTCCTGTTGAATTCAGTGGGTCTTACTCCCAGGTCAGTGAGGTTAGGGCTATAGCCTTCCCTTAGAAATGCAATTCTTAGTTGACATGTGATACAGTATATATGTGGTTTGAGTTGAAGGGTTTTGTTTTGATTTCATAGGAATTTTACCACTGGATTCAGAAGAGTCTGGTTTGTGCGAAGTTGTTCTCGTTCATGAACATTATTTAGGTATGTATCTTGTGTTAAGCACCACATGGAACCCAATGAGCACTTAAAAAAAAACTATTTACAAAAGTCAAATTTGTTTTATTTGTATATATTGCAGTTTATTTGTATATAGTGCACACGTGTCCTCAGAAGTGTAGTGTCTTACACTGATGCCTTAAATGCTGCACAATTCATCTCTTCTAAAGAAATTGCAGCAATACATACTTTTCAGTGAGTTAATGTTCAAACAGAAACCACAAAAGCTGACTCACCCCTTTCATTTCTCCTAAGCTGCTACTCTTGTTGCTTCACTCAACTATTTTTGCTGATTTACTCTTAAATTCTAAAAGCAAGCATTTCTGAAAGCAGTGTCCAGCCCTGCTTTGAGCTTTGCATTCTTCTCAAACTTCTTCGATTCTAGGCCAGGCATCCTGGTTTTCCTCTGGTGCAATAGTTAGAATATGCATTTGCAAACTAAACTAAATAAATAAAAGTAGCAGGCAAATCCAAAAGGTCAAGAGCATTGGGTTGGATCCAAAGTTATCACCGTTCTGTAAAATGTTGCATGAGCACTAAGGGAAGGGTCTACTCAACCAAGGACCTGGAGCAGCCTTGCCCAGCCTAGTGACTCCTAGTGCCCCCATCAGCCAGAGCCAGCTTGATTAATAGTCAAGGATGATGGAAGCTGTAGTCCAAAATTTTGGGAGAGCACCAAATGGGAGAAAGCTAATCTAGAACTGTGTCACAGAATATTTTTTTAAAATATTATGATCCAAACTGTAATGTATTGTCATAATTTATCTACAAATCTAACCTCTTGTGAGAGCATGAGTAGGGGGCATGTTGTTTAAGAAACATTCCCTTTAGGAAAGATGCTATTTCAGGGTTGGGCAACCTCCAGCCCTCAAGACCATTTCCCCCACTGGTGATACTGGCTGATGGCAGGGCAGGGATTAACCATGTGTTTGCTGCAGGGCCCTGTTCCCTGGCCTGTGGTGTCATTGAAGAATTGCATACAATTATGAATCCTGTAGAGTTTTCCACACCCCCAGCTTTGAACTTTAATTGCTATCTGGCATCAGACAAAATCATAAGTCTGTTGTTTCTATGTTACTCAACATGACAATGATGTCATAAGCCCCAACACGCCTATAGTCTTGTAAACTTAAGTCACTCAACTAGGGGTCCAGGTGCAGATGTGCTTTGCCACGTACATTAAAAGGTTGCAGGTGCCAGATCATTGGTTCCTGGGTGGCCTTTGTGATGCATTCAGTTGTACATTTTGCAATGGCTGCAGACATCTGAAGCTGCTTCTGCAGCCTTGTCTCCCTTGCTGGATTGCGACTGTGGCCTTTGCAGGAATCTTTATATTTTTGTGTAACACAAACCTTTCTGAATATTTTGTATAACTAAAGTTCAATAGCAGAACGGCATCCTTTGAAACTATAGCTGTGTTCTGTAGTACTCAATACAAGGTAAAAGACAACAGAAAAAGAAACATTAAAAAAATCAACTCTATGTACTTTGGCTACAACCCAGAAATTTTAACTATCATCGCTGTAAACCCAGCAGGGTTCATATTTTTCCAACAGCAGGTCCCACGAAATGCATCACAAGTAGTTGTTTTTCCCCCAAAGTTAGGGAAATTTCAAAATTAGCATGCAGTACATTGAGGAGGGGGCTACGGTAAGGAAAACAACACTGAAATGTTTGAGTCCTGCAAGTCCTGCTGGATAACAAAGAATCTCACTATATTGTGGCATTCCTCTGTTTAGCCTTTCTAATACAGTCATACCTTGGAAGCTGAACGGAATCCGTTCCGGAAGTCCGTTCGACTTCCAAAGCGTTTGGAAACCAAGGCACGGCTTCCGATTGGTTGCAGGAAGCTCCTGCAGCCAATCGGAAGCTGCAGAAGCCACACTGGGCATTTGGGTTCCAAATAAAGTTCTCAAGCCGGAACACTCACTCCCAGGTTTGCGGGAGCCAAAACGTTTGACTCACAAGGCGTTCGTCAACCAAGGTATGGCTGTATAAAGGACTGCTAGCAGCTGCCCAAAAATATGTGGATTGCAAGCACTCGTGCCTTCATAGGGCTGTTTACACAGCTAAAGAAATCTTAGTTGGTTAATGAACCTTAGTCAATTGTTCAATTATATATGGATAGAAATAAATGTTGTTCAGGACATGGACCTGACCGATGGTGGTAAATTCACTATAGCTAATGGAGCATTGGCCCACCAACTTCATCCTGTCCTCAGCCAAGCCCCACCTGCCTGCCTTCTTTCTGACAACCAGCCCAGAGGTTGGCACTGCCTGGCAGCTTCCTTCTTAGCCTCAGCAGGGAGGAGGATGGAGACAAAACGGGAATTACAGGCTCTAGCTGTCACTGGCTCTGACTTCACCTCCTGCTGATCTTGCTGGCTTCTAACCTACCAGTCCCAATGGACAGCAGCCACTCCTGGAACTGACCCAGAGAAGTGGGCGGCAACATCTGCATACACATATTAGTGACCCAGAGAAGTGGGCGGCAACATCTGCATACACATATTAATGAAAGACACTTTGTCCTCTCCAAGTTATGGAAGAGACTCAAAGAATAAAACTAAACACAACACAACCTTCCACTGATGAAACATAAGGAGGCTGATTAGATTAAGTCTCTCTACACCTGGCATGTCCAAAGTCAACAACTTTGGGGTAAAATCATAATAAAAGCTCAGCAACTTCAATCCTAAAAAAAGGTTAACAACTTTGGTCGGCCCTTTGGTCAGCCCTCACGGCCCTTCACTTCATCAAATCTGGCCCTCTTTGAAAAAGTTTGGACACCATTGTCTACACCCTTCGAGAAGGTTCAGAAATGAATTCTGCCCCAAACTAAGAAGTTTAAACCACCGTTAGCAACTCCCTTCTAAATTTTGGTCTGATGTATGGCATAAAATTTTCAAAGCTGTCTGGTGTGGTGTTTACATAGACAGCTAGAATAATATCTGGATAAATTATATTATATTCAGGTTTCTGTGTGTTCTGTGGCCTTCCAGAAATGCAAGCTCTGTTCTTAATAAATGTTATGGTAATTAATTTTCCTCAACTTACTTATGTCATGTAATTGTGCTATCAAGATTCAGGTTTTCAAGTAATTTGGATTTGTATTCATTTTTAAAGCTTACTTTGAAAAACATTGAAGTGGCGGAGAGAAGGGAATATTGGAAAAAGAAAGCAGTATTTATTTAGAGTATTCCAGAAAAGGCAGGCCTTTGTAACACTTGTCAGTATAAATTTGACTCTGACCCAACACACATAAAGTCAGGTGTGGAGTTAAGAGCTCCCAAATTACTTAACCATCTAAACCAGTGGTGGCCAAACTTGGCCCTCCAGATATTTTTGAGACTACAACTCCCATCATCCCTAGCTAACAGGACCAGTGGTCAGGGATGATGGGAGTTGTAATCCCAAAACATCTGGAGGGCTGAGTTTGTCTATGCCTGCCATAAGATGTGCAAGTGTAGTTTTAAGAATCTCCTTGCGCGTTTCACATTGATTTTGAATATCCCAAGACTCTGGGCAGAATTTAGTGTTATGCTTTTCGATGTACATCACATAAAATGATCCCCTTCTCTTCCTGATGTTCTGAGAGGTTCTCCCAACCTAGAGCCAATTTATTTGGGGTCACTGTGCGGGGGAAGCCCCATTGTGTGAGGTGAGCAGAAGTCCTTGTTCTTCCATTGAATGAATGAATTTATTATTTCGGTCACAGACCAGTTCCAGCCCACATACAATATCAAGAAAGTCATAAAACACGATAGGGATACCTTTGAATTTGCAATTAAGTATAACAGGGACAATACAGATATAGCAACAGTTAAAAAATATATAAATTAAAACTTAGTCACTAAAATATAACCTAAAATTATCATTTAAGGTCTTAATCATTATGATAGCACAGCTTGTTCCCTAAGTTTTATGGCAATCGCACAGAATTTGGCTGCCCTTAATGTGATCTCAGGATCCTTGTCCTCTACCAGGGATTTTAGACATTGAAGTTTGGATTCATTTGGAGATTTTTGCATAGCAGGGGTAATAAATACTGAGCGTATATCCCCGTAGAAACGGTAGCGTAACAAGGCATGAGAGACAGTTTCTACCTCCCATCAAGCCGCAGGGGCAGACTCGTTCCGCGTATGGTTTACCCTCGAATCTGCCCTGCAGTAAGGCAGATGGCAGCCTTGTGCTTCCATTGACGGGGCTCTTTAGGTGAATCCTGCCCTGTGTTCCCCATTTAATACCTTGCCCTATGTCTTTTTTAAGTAACCAAGCAGGCTAATAAATAGCCTGTCTTTCCAGACCTCACCTTAACGAAATAAAGTTCTGGTTTTTCCCTTTCCATGTTTTTATTGTTTTATACAGTGGTACCTCTGGTTAAGAACTTAATTCATTCTGGAGGTCCGTTCTTAACCTGAAAATGTTCTTAACTTGAGGTACCACTTTAGCTAATGGGGCCTCCCGCTGCTGCTGCGCAATTTCTGTTCTCATCCTGAAGTAAAGTTCTTAACCTGAGGTACTATTTGTGGGTTAGCAGAGTCTGTAACCTGAAGCGTCTGTAATCCGAGGTACCACTGTGCTTCCCACTGGTTTGGAACAGCTTTCGAACCCTGAAGCTGGTCTTAGGAGCCTCATTTTTCAAAGTGATATTATTCCCAAGCATAATCTGTCATAGCACTTAAAAATATGTATATATATAAAAAATACAAGTACCGTATTTTTTGCACCATAACACTCACTTTTTTCCTCCTGGAAAGTAAGGGGAAATGTCTGTGCGTGTTATGGAGCGAATGCCTATGGGTGGTGGTGGGGATCTGCTGCAGTCGTGAGCAGAGGATCCATGGTTCCCCTTCCTTCCCTCCTCCGTGGCTCGCTTTGAAACAGCAAAGCGGGAGAAGAGCCACTGAGTGGGGAGGAGAGAGGGACAGAGAGCCTGCTTGCTTTAAAGGAGCAAAGCGGGAGAGGAGAGGAGCCTTCTCCCCTTATACCCCTCTTCTTCATTATTAGCAGCATCCTTCTCCACACACCCCACGCATGCTTCTTCTTCCCTTAAACCCCTCTCCTGCATTATTAGCAGCATCCTTCTCCACACACCCCATGTGTGCTCCTTGTCCCTTGAGTGCTTTTCTTTCCCTCCCCACTTAAAACGTGGTTACAAAGCACGGATCCACATGGATCCTCAGGATTTTTGCACTGGGTCACCCCAAATTCACCATCAGATCACATAGCATGTCCATGGCTACACCTTGCACCAAAAAAATCACGTACCCACTGTTGCCTGGGGCCGCAGTGGTGCAAAAACGTGGTTACAAAGCATGGATCCACATGGATCCTCAGGATTTTTGCATTGAGCTACTCCAAACTCACTGTCAGATCACATGTCTGTGGCCACAGCATGAACCACAAAAATCATACATCCACTGTTTCGTTTAGAATATTTTTTTTCTTGTTTTCCTCCTCTAAAAACTACGTGCGTGTTATGGTCTGGTGCATGTTATAGAGCGAAAAATACGGTATTTTTTTAATGTACAGCAATTACTTGAATCAACCCAATGTTTATATTCTGACTTTTATTCCTTTCACTGAGAAACAAGACATAATGCTATAAAAATACGGTGACACTTTACCAGTGAACAGTTTAAAATATAAAGCTAATAGATTTGTTAATAATGTTGCAAGCTTATATGACTGGGTTGAGGAGACCCATACTGTCTTTTTATTCTCTGCAATATGTTTCTTTTAATTTTTATTTTTGGGGAGGAAGGAGAACACTGACCAACATTTTTTTTGTAATAGTCTATTAGGTTAAACAACAAATTTAAGGTTCTGTTTCAAAAGTAGGCAACCACCAGCTCTGCTTTTTAAAATCTCTGGTCTGCTTCTCCCTCCCTGCCTCCTCCCTGCCTCTCTCTCTCTCTCTCTCTCTCTCTCTCTCCCCCCCCCCCCCCATTATAAAACAGCTCATAAGCCAGAAAAGGTCTCCTGGCTTGAAGCAGCAGGCACCATTCGTGATGGTCTTCGTGCATATACAGCTCTACATTACCTCTCCTACGCCACTCCAGGAAAAACTGTTCTGGTGATGGATGGAGCAAGTGTAGGTACAAGAAACTACTTCGGAAACAATTATATCTTTTCTTAAACTCCTATTCAGTATATATTTGTCTTGTTGGAATGGACTTGAAAAGTCTTATAGCCTGTGCTCTTTCTGATAAATCAGGAACCCATGGGCCCATCTTTCCCCACAAGACCATTTCCCCCCAAACCACCTGCACCTGTCATTCAGCTTATGTCACCAAATCAGCTGATGGGTACCAGGGTGGGGTTCAATTATACTTTGGCTGAACTCACCTGTTCCTTACTGGGCTCAAAGCCAAAGTAGATAGATGATCCTGCCTTGGGAGGGTTTAAAATCCTGCTGAGTTTGGCTGTACAAGCCTGTCTGCTGTTGGGAACAGGACCAGCAGCCAGAGCAAGCAGACCCCCCCCTTTTTTTTTTGTAGGTGTCGTCCGCAAAAGAGACTCTTCTGCTTGCAACCAAAAGGCAAGCTTCTTTCTCCCCTCCCTAACACCTGATGGGAAGGGAAGAAAGAAGGCTTTACCTGCCCTACACTTGGCACTTTGGGGGTCCCAGTATGAGGAAAGATTGAAGGAACTAGAGAAGAGAATAGCAACATATGCCTGGAGAACTATTGTATACTAAAAGGAAAGACTTGCCCTACGCTGCTCCAGAGGGTGGGACTATATTTATTGGCTTTAAGTTATGGGAAGGTAGATTTCAGTTGAACATCAAAAGAATCTTTTGACTGTAAGAGCAGTTTGGAACCAGTTCTCTAAAGGGGTAGTAGGCTCTTCCTCCCTGGAAGTCTTCAAGCAGAGGCTAAAGAGTTGGAGATGCTGCAACTCTGGATTTTCTGCACTGAGGAAGGGTTGGACCAGACCCCATCCAGCTCTGTGATCCTTCTTGCTAACTGCTATTGCTGAGGTCATCAGTGGTGGGAGGAGAGGCGGCTGCAGCAGCCATGCATCCATCTGTAGCACCTGCATCCAGGTCTAGCTGAGAAGCCCCCATCCCCAGAAGCTATTTGTAGTATATTTTATGAAAGGCTGATTAAAAAATGTGATGTGTGCTTCCGTTTGCACTAGAAGCCCTCAAGGCAAGGCTACGTAAAGTGTTAAAAAAAGAAACTCTCACGCATCTATCTGCATGCAACATGGCTTATCCTGCTCTCTGCTGGAGTACTGGCTGCCATAGTAACAGATTTCCGGACCTGAAGTTTGGTCAATAAATGACAACATTTAAAATGTCTAGACTTTCCAAGTTATCCCTGTATCTTGGACTACATGTACAGCCTACCAAACTTCAGACTTATTGCTGACATGGTGTTTTTTCCAAGCATCCTAAAGTATACATCATTTCCCCATTGAATGAAATGTGTTCGAAACAGCATTTTCAGGCTTTTCAAATATTCAGGGATGAGGTGTATGAACCTGAAGATATGCTTCCAGTCTCACCAGGAGCAATAGAGCTATTGGGGCAGGGACTTCATCTGAATGCAGCTCATAGTTAAGGTCCTAAGGGGTGGGTGTATATAAGTTCACCAATACACAAACAATATTTAAACCTATGTACTTGCTGCTTCTATTTGGTGTTTAAAGTTGTAGGCGGGTGTACAGTTCTGTATTTTAGTTCACCAGTACCAAGGCAATATATTTAAACATATGCACATGCTCCATCTATTTCTCCTCCTGCAGCCATTTGGTACAATCGCTATTCAGCTAGCACAACACAGAGGAGCTAAAGTAATTTCTACTATATATAGTCTTGAAGACAAGCAGTATCTTGAGAGGCTTACGCCATCTGTGGGTGAGTTACATTGTTTGGTTCTAGCTGCGTGAGAGAGCTAATTCAGAACACATGTTTTTATTTTGAAATGTTTGTCTGCATTTCACGAGCACTAACTGGCTTGGGACCCAGGTATGTGAAGGTGTGTGCATATACACCCTTATCAGCATTCCCAAACTTTAAAGTGATCTGTGAGTCCTCTTTTCCAAATGCCTCCTGCATCAGAGGCGAGACTGATGTCAATAAGGGAAAGAGTTTTCTTGGCTTTTGTGCCCTGGTTACAGAATTTCCTCCCCAATGTTGGCAACATTATTATCATGTAGGTACCAGGCAGAAACATTTTTTTCCCAGCCAGGTATTTTAAGTACTGTACTTGAGCTTTATCTGCAGTTTTTATTTGTTGTCTGTTTTAGTGTGCTGCTGTTTTGAATGTTGTGTTTATTGATGTACATTCCCCAGTTGGTGGATAAAATAAATGGTAAATATTTAGAACTGAGATGAAGTCTTTGTTGGTGAAACTTAATGCAGCTGGCTGTTGACATTCCTATTCCTTTTGTGGGGGGGGGGGGAGATTGGGCTGCAGTATGCTCTGTCATCTGACCTAGCAAGCTACATGCAGCCTACCATCTATATATGGCTGCCCACCAGGGCTCAGCACAGCTCCTGTTTGGTTCTGTACCTGTAACTGCAAAATATTGGGTGGAGAGATGTCAAAATATATCAGGCCATAGTACATGGCTGATGAGTTACTTTCAGTTTAGTGGGTCACAAGTCAGACAGACCTGGACTTATAAGCGTCTGTAAACTCCTGTTATATATAGATGGATACCAAACATTCAGCTTTGTAAAATTTACAAGCCTCTTATTATAAAACGCTGAAACGTCTGTCTCAATACCTGAGCCCCAAATTGTTCATATCCCTCAAAGTATTACAATAATCAGAACTACAAATTATTGAGGATTATTTTAAAATGCAGGCGACTTTCTTTTTTCCACAGCCTTTGATTTATTTTTAATCTTATTTACTTTCCCTCTTGGCCATCCAAAAATAAGTAGGGCAGCAGCTGTTAGGCTGAATAGAACACTAACTACAGCCACCGCTGACTTGTGAGCACATGTAAACATTTTCCTTATTATCCCGGCTTGTTTACATATTGTGAGCTCAGGGAATGACATGAAAAGATAGATGTGCTCTGCATGCCTTGCTTCTGTGGGAGAAACAGTTTTCTGAAGTATCTGGCAAGCATATCGGCTCTCCTCAGGGGTGCAAGGATAAATTCATAGACAGGGCCACACTATTATCTCTCATGTAAGCACCGTGTTGGAATGGCATGCATGGTAGGCGAAGCTTGGTCTTGGACTTCAGAGTGGAGGGCTTTAGCAGCCTGCAGTATCCTCCCACAGATGAGCTGCAAAGAGAGGGGAGTCAAGCAGAATTTGGACAAAACAATGTCTTGCACAGATGGATCATGGCATAATTAAGAAATCTCTTTTAATGGTAAGCAGCTGTGAAGTGTTCTCCGTTAGTACCTCCCTGTGCTAATGTCAACTTTGGTATTATAGGGTGCCAGATGTCCTTTTTTAAAACACATACCGCTTCCATGAAAAACTTACATTTGATTGTAAAATATCACAGTCCCATATAAGTAATGAATAAGTGTTTTCTGCCTTCAGTTTTTGCTTTGAAAAACCAGTGTCTGTAGAACTCCACAGTTTCTCCTTTTCCCTTCTAGTTTTGAAATGTTGTTCCACAGTTGGTTTGATATCTGATATTGTGTCTATTGCAATAAAGTACCGTATTTTTCGCCCCATAGGGCGCACCAGCCCATAGGGCGACCTAGTTTTTTTTGGGGGGGGGGAAATAAAGAAAAAAAATTAATTTCCCACCCAGGTGCGGGGCTGGGGCGGGGGAAGCTAGAGCCCCCAGAACAGGCTGCTCTCCGCAAGCCGTGGGAGCCCTTCCACAGCTTGTGGAGAGCTACCGAAGCCCGGGCGCGACTGCTCAGCGCGCCCGGGCTTTGGGATAAGAGGCAGCTCTGCGCAAGCCGTGGGAGGGCTCCTGCGGCTTGCGCAGAGCTACCCGAAGCCCGGGCGCGACTGCTCAGCGCGCCTGGGCTTCAGGGTGCAGGCAGCTCTGCGCAAGCCATGGGAGCCCGGCGGGAACTCCCGTGGGCTCCCAAGGCTTGCGGATAGCTTCCTGAAGCCTGGAGAGCGAGAGGGGTCGGTGCGCACCGACCCCTCTCACTCTCCAGGCTTCAGCGAAAGCCTGCATTCGCCCCATAGGACGCACACACATTTCCCCTTCATTTTTGGAGGGGAAAAAGTGCGCCCTATAGGGCGAAAAATACGGTAAATGGCAGATACCTGCTTGAGCAGCTTCTAGATACTGCTATATAATGTGTGGGATCTAGTTTGAGGGTAGCTCTTCTTGCTACTTAAAATTCCCTGGAAGTGTGACAAAGCAATCCACATTATGCAGCATCAGTATAATAAAACAGAAGTGCTAATTGCTAGTTAATATGACTTCCAAAGCTAAGCAGCCTACACTTCTGAACCATGTTAAAAATGGTCTATACATGAAATTAACCATGAAGGATTGGACTTGAAATTGGAACAGGATATTGTAAAATATTTACTACACAGTCAGGCCTTGTATATTGAAGCAGAGCATATTAGCTAGTGCTTTGTAAGCACAAGGAGGTTTAAACATGGAACACATTGACCCAAATAACAGCTTCCCAACATTTTGCTGAATGCAGCCTGAAATGTTTTCTATCAAGTCTTTAAGCGATTCCTGATAGTTTGAGAATAAGCTCTTATTTCGGCACAGTCAAATCAGTGTATTATATAGTTTCTTTTCTAATGTATTTGTATAATTTTTGCAGTCCAAAATATTTTAACAGAAGTGCTCCAAACTCAAAACAAGCAAAGGGCCTTAACTTCCCACAGAGAACCTGCTTAGAGGCCTGAGCATTTCTACTGAAAACTTGCTATCAGTTTGGAATATGGGAGCAGTGAATCACTTTTAGAAAATACCTCAATGCATTCCAGTGTGCAAAATGTAAGACTGGAATCATAATTAATTTAAAATAAAGTAATTGTTTTTATTATGCTGTGCTGTTAAAATTGTAATGATATGTAGCAGGCCTAGTAGCAGATCGCCCCTCCTTTGAACAGGAGTGGCAGAAGGCATTCACTGGCTTTCTGGTGAATAAAGGCCAGAATGCTGTGGTATACATGCACTGAAAGACTGTTAGGAGCTGAGGAAGAAGATGGCTACATTCAGCTCGTGACAGCCCTTTCCTGTAGGCCAGTAGGATCCCCACAGTGTTTAAGAAAATGCATTGTATTTAAATATTTGGAGTGTTTCTTACCGTTTCATATGTTCCAGTTCTCATTTTGGTATTTTACTTTACAGGTGTCAAGCAACCATTAGTAGGTGAGTTTAAGAAAGAACCTTGCCATTTATAATCAATATCTTCATTATATTCAAGTATTACTTTTGCTGCATGAAAGAAAATCCAGATTGTTTGATACCCCACATGGGGAGGGGAAGCTGCCTGCCTTGTCCTCAGCAAGCCTTGTTGATTGGGGCCCTGATTCTGCCTCGAAGCAGGTGGGAAACACAGGGTGCAGTGGGTGGTCCCTAGCAGTCCTTCATGGTGGCTCATGAACAAGCTGTGGTTTGTCAGCTAGGAACAAGCAACCATTTAGTTTCCTGGGCTGGGTTCACATGTTCAAGCAAACCATATTTAGGCTAATCAAATCATAGTTTAGGATTATGTCTGAACAAAGCCTGAATGTTGGTGATAGAAATGTTCATGTTCTGCAGAGTTTGCTTTTGCTTCTTACCAATGAATCCCTGGTCTTAAATCGCAGTTCTGTGCAAATTCACTGAGATGTCTATATAACCCACTGTGGTTATTAGAATTACTTTTGCAGCTAGGACTAGGATTGCAGCCTAAGTCTTTGACAAGTGTTTTCTTTTGAATTCTGCACACTTCTACATTCTCTGTAAATATTTATTGAGGAAAAATAACTGTTTTGTTCTCGTGTTATTCTACATATTGGTTTCTGGGTAAGTCTGAAGAATATGAAGTATGCACTGGTCTCCCCCCCCCAAAAAAAATTGTAATTTACCTTGCCATCCCATCTAGCTCGTATTATAGATGAAACCAATGGAACATGTGACCTGACAGAAAGCTGTTTGGAGGAGACAGGCGGATTAGGAGTGGATATCATCCTTGACGCAGGAGGTCTGTAACTGCTACAAAACTCTTTACTGATGCAGTAAAATATTTACCAACAGTTCCATAGTATTTTATTAATTTTAAAACTTTGTATCATCAAAAACATATCCAGTTTTATACAGTGCTGTTGTATACTATAGTGTCAGAGGAGTGTCTCTTTAGTTAGTATGTGAGGCACTGTCTGTTAAAATCATGAAAATTTTATCAGTATGGAATTTGGTACTGGAATTTGGTATTGATGCTGGTGAAGCAGTTAATTGCATATAAAGTCCTCTGGAGAAGCAAATGAGAAATTTCTGCAGTACTAAAATCCATATATTGTTTATTAGGATAGGTTTTCTATAGTCATAATCAAAATATTTACATATTTTTCTGTTTTTCTACCTTTTTATTTAATGTTTATGTTATATATATTGTGTGGGTGTGTTATTGCATAACTGAATTCTTAACAAAAATGAGGTACAATCCACTCTGATTACACCTTTCCTTGCAGAATTTACACAGCAGCAGATCTACAGCATAGTTCTATGACAGTGTCACCTGCGTGGTAGTTAAAAATGTACCCAAGTTTCAGGCACTTACAGGCTGTGGTTTTCTGTACACTTTTCTTTCAAAGAGTATTTTGGATGAATGAATACCCCCAAAATTCCAACGGAATCCTTTTATTTGAGGGTTTGTTTGTTTTTTAACCTCAGTCTATGTAGCATGTTGGGATGAAAATAATTCCAGGGAAACTGATCAGGTTTTTAAAAAAATGGTCCAGGGAAGGAGACTTAAAGCTATATGTGTAGGTTGACCATGCAACCACTCAACTGTCTCCTGCACTGATTTATGCACTTGACCCTGCCATCAAACATTGACAGGAGACAAGGTGAAACTAATTAATGGAACCTTTTCCTCAGTGTCTGCTGTGCCCAGAATTCTGAGTAAAGAAAGTCGTTTTAAAATAGACCAGAAAAGGGGGAATGTATATTGATATAATATGAACATGAAACATTTTTATTGAAGATTTTCTTGGGTTACAAAAGTAGAGACATTGTCTCTACTGTATTTTCAGATCATAAAGTCCTTTTTACAGTTCAACACAGTTAAATGTGACTCTTAAGTACTTAGCTTCTTTGCTTCCTTTTAGTGAGATTATACAGTAAAGAAAATGAAGTAACTTCACAACAATTGCTGCCGCACAAACATGACATTATTTCATTGCTCAGTGTTGGAGGCCACTGGGTTACCATGGAAGAAAATCTCCAGGTGAGAACAAAATCTGAAATTACCTTGTATGTAAGTATGCTGTGACCATAAACCTCTAAAAACTAAGTTACTACTAAGGCAGCAGTCCTATGTACAGTTGCCTGGGAGTAAGTCTGGTTGAACACAAAGTGACCTATTTCCAGGTAAACTTGCATAGCACTATGGTGCAACACTGTTTAATATCTATATTGGTGCACTATTTTTGTTGAAGACCAGTGCTATAGAGCAGTGTTTCCCAACCGGTGTTCCGCGGCACACTAGTTTGCCGCGAGACGTTGCCTGGTGTGCCGTAGGAGGGAGGCGGGCGAGTCGGGCGGCGAGAGACGGGGCGGCGGCGGCGAGGATCCGCGTCGAGCCGGGGGCGGCTCCGCGGTGGTGGTGCCGAGGTTTCTCTCTCCATTCTCCACACACACACAGGAAATAACACAGGATCAGCTGACAGGACCCGGCCAATGGGGCGGCGGCGGGGCAGCGCGCGCAAAAGGGAGGAGCGCGAGACAGCGGACGAGGAGGAGGCCGGCATGTCCGGGCAGCAGCAGCAACAACAGCAGCAGCAACTCCCGGCGACGGCTCCTCAAGCCCCGGGCAACCCTACTCCCTCACCGGCCTCGGCCGCCCTCCTGCTCCACCCGCCGCCGCCTCCCCCGCCGCCGCCGGCCACCTCGGCCCCGCCGCCGCCCCTCCTCCGCCCGCTATCGCCGCCGCCTCAGCTGGGCCCATGCCTGCCGGGAGCGGCGGCGGCAGCAGCAGCAGCAGCGCCCCGGCGCCCTTCCCTCACGGCGGCGACCCGGCCCTGAACGAGCAGGAGAAGGAGCTCAAGCGGCGCCTCAAGCGGCTCTACCCGGCCGTGGACGAGCAGGAGGAGGAGTTGGAGGAGTCCCTCAGTCCCTCGCTTTGCTGCCTCCCCCCCCCACCCCCAAAGCTTGGAGGCAGTGGCGTAGCGTGGGGGGTGCCGGCCGCACCGGGCGCAACATCTGGGGGGGGCGCGAGTCCAGAGGGAAGGGACAAGTTCCTTCCTCCGCCGGGCTCCCCGCCGCCGCCGCCAGCCTTGCGCCCTAGCGCGTGCGCGCCCCCCGCCGCCGCTGCGGCTGCGCTCCACTCACTGCTCGCAGGAGGAGCAGCCGCTGCAGCAGCGCCGACGCTGTGTGTATAAGCAGAAGCAGGGATGGTTTGTGCTGCTGGAGTGGCTTCTCCTGCTTTTGCAAAGCAGCGCAGGCGGAAAAAGGAGAGCGAGAGGCTGGGCAGCGGGCGAGGCAGCGGGAAGTGTGTGTGAGCGAGGCGCCGCCGTTGCGAAGCATGTTGTTTACATGCCAAGGGGTGCCTTGTGGAAACAGGGTGGCGAGGGAGCGCGCAGGAGAGGCAGCAGCAGCGCAAGGCTGACATAGGCTGAGACAGCAAAGTTGGGGGCTTGGAGCAGGGATGGGGTTGGGGGGTGAGAAAGAGGCAGGCGGAAAAGGAGCCACGGGGGGGGGGCAGCACAAGTGTGTGAGTGTGAGAGAGGAAGTGTCGGAAATAGTGAACCTTTAACAGCGCCTGGGGCAGTGCAAGTGTGTGCGTGGGAGCCACTAGGGAAAATTGATAGTGCAAGACAAACAGGCTGTGTGCTTGAAGCAGGGCAGGTGTGAGCGTGTGTGTGTGTGTGTGTGTGTGAGAGAGAGAGAGAGAGAGAGAGAGAGAGAGAGAGAAATGAGATGGGACACTACAAATATGTGTGTCTGTATGTTGTGAAATGAAAGCATAATCAATGCACATGCATGCTCTCGCTCTCTTTCTCACACAGACACACATAGAGCATGTGTGTTGAAACTGGCAAAGAGGATGTGAAAAGAGGGAGAGAGGAATTTTGTGTGTGAGAGACAGCAAGTGCATGGGTGCGAGTGCGAGTGCTTAAAAAAAAAAATGTTAAAAGATAGTTGCATGCCTGACGCCAGACGTGTACAGGGATATAAATCGCCGGGTTCTGGGAAGGATCGCTCTGTGAAGGGGTCGCTCTGTGTCCCCAGGATGCTTTGGGGGAGGAAGCCATGTTGCTTTACATGTATGGTACACAGAGCCTCAGTCGCTAAACCTAACCTACTTCAAGGGCAGGCTGTGTGCGTGGGAGAACCATGCATGCCAACTTGAAGTGCTTGGGAGGATAAATAACTAACTAGAGGGGAGCAAGGGAGAAACACCATATAGTGATTAAAAAACAACAACACATGGAGATTGTGAATACATGTAGACACCGATTTCTTTCCATACATCCAGTGGCGTAGCGCCACCGACGCCTGGCCGGGCACAGGCAGCCTCCGCACCCCGACGCCGACGCCATCCCCTCGGCCCAGCCACAGGCGGCGGCTGCTTCTGCCGACTGGGAGGGAGGAGAGCTCCGAGGGGCCTCGCCGCGCCCTGCGCTCCCCAAAACCCTCCGAGAGGAAGCCGGCGGGCAGGCGAGGGTCTCCCAGCGGAAGGGGGCGCCGCTGGCTCCGGCTCTCAGCGCAAGTCTCAGCCACAGGGGTGGGGGGAGGACGGAGCACAGCTGGAAGCCCCCGGACCGGCCGGGAGGAGGAGAGGCGCTCGCCAAGCCCGGATCTGGAGCTCCACCTACAGCCCAAGGAGAGGAGGGGGCGGGGAGGCGCCCGAGGGGAGGGGGCTTCGGCTGCTTCGGCCCGCGGGGGCTCCGCAAATAATAAATTTAATAAATTCATGCTGAGCCTTTGGGGGGGGTCCTTGGCTCCTTCGCTCGCCCCCAGCCCCAGTGGCGTAGCGTGGGGGTGCAGGGGGACCCGGGCGCAACATCTGGGGGGCGCACGCTCGCACTCGAGTGCTAAAATCCACGGGTTAGGGGGCGCAAATTACTTGCCTTGCCCCGGGTGCTGACAACCCACGCTACGCCACTGCTTGGAGGTTCCCCGGCAAGGGGGAGGGGAAAAAATTGAAACTTACACTTTCGTGCGTCCCTACCGGCGTGACGCTGCGCGCTGACGTCACGGGGCTGTAATGGTGGTGTGCCTCGAGATTTTTTTCATCAAACAAGTGTGCCTTTGCCCAAAAAAGGTTGGGAAACACTGCTATAGAGAATCTAGCATTTATACTACTACTACTACTACTAATAATAATAATAATAATAATAATAATAATAATAATAATTAATAATAATTTATTATTTATACCCCGCCCATCTGGCTGGGCTTCCCCAGCCACTCTGGGCGGCTTCCACAAGAATATTAAAATACTATAATACATCAAACATTAAAAGCTTCCCGAAACAGGGCTGCCTTCAGATGTCTTTTAAAAGCCTGGTAGTTGTTGTTCTCTTTGACATCTGGTGGGAGGGTCAGGGAAGGAGCCACTACCGAGAAGGCCCTCTGCCTGGTTCCCTGTAACTTGGCTTCTCGCAGTGAGGGAACCACCAGAAGGCCCTCAGTGCTGGACCTCAGTGTCCGGGTAGAACGATGGGGGTGGAGACATGTATGGCATGTTTATACATTCTGCATTACGTGAACAAGATAAAGGACTGAAATTGATAATCTATTGAAATGGGGCATGGGATAGGCAATAGAAAAGATACAGGTAAGGTGAGCCAGTTAGCTCAGGAAATGCTTTACTTCAAGAAGTGCATTGTCAGAACTTGGAGGAGGGCAGAAGCAGCTTGGTGGCTATAGAAGCAGGGTGGGTATGGTTTGTTTACTAAAAACAGTTTTATCCAGCCACATATGGGACTTCCTGGGCAGCTGTAAATGTAAATGCTGCAATGTACCGTATTTTTCGCTCTATAACACGCACCTGACCATAACACGCACATCGTTTTTAGAGGAGGAAAACAAGGGAAAAAATTCTGAATGAAACAGTGGATGTATCATTTTTGTGCTTCATGCTGTGGCCACAGACATGTGATCTGATGGTGAATTTGGGGTAGCTCAATGCAAAGATCCTGAGGATCCATGTGGATCCATGCTTTTTAACCACATTTTTGCACCATTGCAGCCCCAGGCAACAGTGGGTGTGTGATTTTTGGGGGGCAGGCTGCTATGTGATCTGATGGTGAATTTGGGGTGGCCCAATGCAAAGATCCTGAGGATCCATGTGGATCCATGCTTTTTAACCACGTTTTTGCACCATTGCAGCCCCAGGCAACAGTGGGTGTGTGATTTTAGGGGGGCAGGCTGCTATGTGATCTGATGGTGAATTTGGGGTGGCCCAATGCAAAGATCCTGAGGATCCATGTGGATCCATGCTTTGTAACTACATTTTAAGTGGGGAGTGAAGGAAAAACACAGAAGTGACAAGAGAGCGGTGGGCAGAGAAGCAGCTGGCTAAGAAAGCAGGAGAGGGATTTTACGGGAGGGAGGAAAGAAAGGCAAAAGTTTCCACAAACCGAAGCCAGCTTTCTCTCTCCTCCTGCATGTTTTCTGGCTGCCTGCGAGGAGCACGGAGAGGAATTAGAAGGAAAGACCTCTGCTTTCCCCTCTGCTTGCCTGGAGGGGAGGGGATTTGCCTGCTCTTTGTTCCGTTTGAGCAAACACAGCAACGAAACAGAGGAGGGTGGGCAGTAAGACCCTGAGGCAGAATGCAGGAAAGCAACCACTTCCTCTTTTCAGGTTTCCCTCTCCGACACAACGCACGATTGATTTTTGCTGATTTTTGTTCCTGCGCTCCCCTAATCGGCTCCAGGACCCCCCCACATTCACTCCATAACACGCACAGACATTTCCCCTTCCTTTTTAGGAGAAAAAATCTGCGTGTAATAGAGAGAAAAATACGGTAAATACAAAAAAACCCCAAAGTTTAAAAATCCTTAACGGCAACACAGTCAACTATAATAGTAAAAAACAGATCAAGTAATAATAATAAAAAATAGATAAGAGCATCAGCATTGGATAATGCATGGGTAGGCAAACTAGGGGCCGAATCCGGCCCAATCGCCTTCTAAATCCGGCCGGCGATTGGTCCGGGAATCAGCGTGTTTTTACATGAGTAGAATGTGTCCTTTTATTTAAAATGCATCTCTGGGTTATTTGTGGGGCATAGGAATTCATTCATTCCCCCCCCAAAAAAAAAAGTCCGGCCCCCCACAAGGTCTGAGGGACAGTGGACCAGCTCCCTGCTGAAAAAGTTTGCTGACCCTTGGGATAATGGGCAAGAGCTTATGAAGGATGTAGGAGCGTTCAGTGACCAGACATGGAAGAGTAGATGAGTTTATGCTAAAAAGCGGTATGGGAAGAGAAGAAGCCAAGGCAAAATGGTGGAGAATTTATAGAAGACAAGACTAAATGCTTGAATTTGATGTAGAGCATAATAAGAAGTGTGTGCAAGGTCTTAATGATCATGGCAACAAGGGAGAAAGATGAGTTCATTTAGCATATGGGGCAGAGAAATGCATAAAGAGGGGGGAGTTGTCACTATCGGTCACCACTGCTTGTCTTCCATATCAATCAAGACTCAGCAGTCTTTAGTATTTTTGTGTCCCAGCCCACCACTGAACACATAGTCTAATTCCATGCCACCAGTGCTTTTCTTTGAGCCAGAAGGCTGCCAGATTCATGGCATGCAGTAGTTTGGTAGTGGTAATGCCTGCTGTCTCATAGGGGGAGGCGTGAGCCAGCACTGCAAGTGCAGCCGCATCGGTAGCATTTTGACAAAATAAAAGGCACTGCTACGCTATTTCCAAACTACCAGTCTTGATCCTTTGGAGGCAGTTGCTATTAGAAACCCAGCAACTAGCAAATGCAGCATTAAAAAAGTAAAGGTACCCCTGCCCGTACGGGCCAGTCGTGACCGACTCTAGGGTTGCGTGCTCATCTCGCTCAAGAGGCCGGGAGCCGGCGCCGTCCGAAGACACTTCCGGGTTACGTGGCCAGCATGACAAAGCTGCAACTGGTGAGCCAGCACCAGTGCCACACACGGAAACGCCATTTACCTTCCCGCTATAAAGCGGTACCTATTTATCTACTTGCACTTAGGGGTGCTTTCGAACTGCTAGGTGGGCAGGAGCTGGGACCGAATGACGGGAGCTCACCCCGCCGCGGGGATTCGAACCGCCGACCTTACGATCAGCAAGTCCTAGGCACTGAGGTTTTACCCACAGCGCCACCCGCGTCCCAGAATGCAGCATTACTTGACAGTAATAATCTAGCACACTTCATAATTAAAATAAAATGAAATTGCTACTATAGTGTGAATCAAACACTGGAGCACCAAAAGATAAACTGTCTTTGTCTCAGTTGTTCTGTGCCTTCCAGGTCATTAATGTTTGTAAAACAAGAAGCCAATTTCATATATGTTGAAAATCACTTGCCAAGATAATTATGTCAACCATTAATTAATGTGCTTTGGTTGTGCCATTTTTGTTTTGGCAAATGTAGCTTAACTGTTTTTCATATTTTAAAAAAGTTGGATCCTCCAGATAGTCGTTGCCTTTTCCTCAAAGGTGCTACAGTCTCTTTCCTGAATGATGAGGTGTGGAATTTGTCAAATATGCAACAAGGGAAATACTTATATATCCTTTTTATGTTTATATTTTAAATTGATAAGTAACTGGTTTGTTTTAAAGAGAGTGGGGGGAAATGCAACATATATTGCATATATTGGAACTCAGTACAGCTAAGGGATCTTTACTGCTGACTGTCATAGTACTGGAAATATCATGATATGGGGAATTTAATTGCTATTTAGAGTATGATACATATGGATTTCTTTTCTGCTATTTTAGAATAAACATATAATTTTAGATTTTAGATTGTAAACCTGGGGATATGGACTGTTGTCTTTAAGCTGTGCAGAGTGCTTACTAAACCTGGATAGATTATAAATCACATTAATGCTTTAAAACACTACCAGGCATTTCTACCCAGATATGCAGGGTCTATATGGTGAAGCCAATCTCACAAATTAAAGATCTGCATCTCAGTCCTAGCCATGTTTCCTCAAAACAGATTTGTTGGGATTTGCTAGTGTGTTTAGTAATCCACTCCAGTCACGCGTGTACACACAGTTTTTCTTAACAATTCTCTTATACGCATTCTAGAAGATGTAATGGAGAAGCTATCCAGTGGTGTTTTCAGGTAAGTCGGGTGTGCTACAGTGAAATGGAAGCTTACAAACTAATCTAAGTATTATAAGTTATGAAGCTCCACATAATTAAAATGCTGCTGGAGACCTACTTTGTGGCTATAGTTATTGATCCAGAACCCCAAGAGTCCTGAAGCCAGTTCCATGAGCCTAATAGGTTTCATACTTACCTTTCTCGAAAAGTGAGCCCTGGATTCTCTATGAGAAACTGCTTTTCTAACGGAAGGCAGCTTCAGAAGCTATTCGTTATAATACAGTAACGTAGGGATTAGCTGTTCATTAAAAATAAATAAATACCAGAGCCACTAAGTCACTGCAAGTTCCTTTTATGACTCTAAACAGCCCTTGGTATGCTACCCATTAATATCAAATACTTGGGCAAAATTCTTATTTTTATTTTCAATTAGCCATCTTAGGAAATGACTTGGAGAAAGCCCTCTTCCTTGCAATCCTAATTGCTCTAATACAATCTGCCCGTTAGCCTGTACATTAAATAAACCCAGTTTGGACCAGACTTACTCTGCAGGTGTGTAATACTTGTCTACAATCCAACTGCATATTCATAATAACCACTGTGAACTGCAGCTAAATAAAAGTCTTTGTTCTTGTATGAATAAGCTACTAAAAGCATTCCTTCCAATAGTTAATATTCTACTAATGGTTACTACAAAGCTTATTTTTCCTTTGTCTGCTATGATTGCAGTCGAGGTTTTGGCTGCAGAAGGGCAGGAGCTGGAAGACTTGTTCTCAAAAGCAATATAAAATGGCACATATTTTAAACTGCTAGTAAAAGCTATTTTGAAATGCATGCAGTACATTAAACATCTGCTTCCTATTTGCTGTTTTCTCTGCCCTTTGTTCCAGGAATCCTAGCCAACCTATAACACTTGCCGTGTGTTTGAGCTGTAAAGTTTGCATTACTAAAAAGTAAAGTCTATGGCAATTGTCCTGAATTGTGTACTTTTTTCTTTTGAGCATACATTAAGACACTTCTGAGATATTATTCTCTTTTAGGCCTCATTTGGATGATCCCATCCCATTATATGAAGCCAAAGTTTCTATGGAAATGGTTCAGAAGAACGAAGCAAGAAAAAGACAAGTTATCCAGCTCTGAAGCACAGATGCTTAGCTTTTAAGTGAAGTGTAAATTTGTGGACTTTGTCTCAATTGCCTACTTATAAAGGATTGGTCAATGAGTTTCAACTAATGTTTTAATTACTGTTTGAATATTCTTTACAAGTTCTGGGGGAGAAATTAGAGCTTTGATTTTTTTTCCCCATTACCATGTCTAAAAGAGTATTTCTGTTAGCAATTGAAAGTTTACTCATATTTGTGGTCCTCCAACATGCCGTCCATCCGTTCTGCACCCCCCCATCACTCCTGTGCTTAGCAGACAACACTTTCCTTTTGTCTGTTCAGTTTTATGCATTTTGCTGTGCTTTGTTTTACTTGGACCATCTATACACTATGGGGGTGGAAAGGTGTCCCTGGAAAACACTTGTAACATTGGCAAGATTCTGAATGTGCTTTCTCAATCTGACCTTATTTTTATGGTGGCTTCGCTATGTTTTTTATTTAGCCTTTCCATCTAGAAAACACAGGATCTATCAGCACCTATAGATGACATGCATTGCCAAGGGTCTTTTTATACAAGCAGCATTCTGTGGAATAAGTGTACATTTGTTAGGCATTTGCTTTGCACAGTCCACATTTCTGTCTTTAAGACAGCACTGCAGTGGGTAGGATACTGCATTTACTAAGTACCTAAGTGCAATATTTGCACCTGGAGAAAATGCAGTATATGCTTTCATACAGCACATACTCTGTTATTACAATTCCTTGATGAAGTGTTGTTTTTGTGACTGTCACAAGTACTTAACTGGGTATATTCTGTGATGTAATTAGTAATCTATACTCATGTAAATTTATGATTTACCATTGTTAAATTTCAAATTGTACATGGCAGAATAGACCTTAGTCACAGTCATTAATTTCAGTGGGTCTACTCTGAGTAAAAGCCAGCTATTCTGATTTTTTCCCTTTTATAAATTTAGCCTTGTGTTATATATAGTTCATGCATATAGCCCAGTCCACAAAAGAGGGATGGAGAGGCAAACAGGGCTATTCCCATCACCTGCCACACCATAGTGGGATATGTCTTGCTGCTGTGGGATAGTGGTCACACTTTGGCTCCTCATCTAAGACCTTCCTCTGTTCTTCTCCTCAATATTGTCTAATTTGTCCCTTCTCTGCTAATAAAAGGTGGTTGCATTCTCAGATATGCCTTAATTGCAAGAAGATTTATGGAAGCAAGTCCTATTAAAATCAATGAATTCAGCCCCTGCATAAACAGTAGGACTGTATGAAACTTTGTACCACACAAACTCTATGGAAAGCTGATATAGTAGTAGATATGTGTTGTAAAAAATTTCCCAGCATCAGGTGATTGCTGTTAGTTGCTAGTAAGAATGTGGCTTCCCACAACTGAAGCTGAATGTTGACAAGCCAGATTCTCTTAACAACTGTTCTAAGGAAAAATGTTCTGCCTTTCTCCACAACTATATATTTCTCCAACTAAATCATCTGCAGAGGCTTCATATTATGCCCCTCAACTCTTTCAGTGTGTGGAAATATTAAGTTAACTAGAACCTACAAACACAGTTTGAGAATTCAATATGTTTTCTAGCTTCTTGCTTTTCATAGTTCTGTTCTTATTTTGAAGATAGATAAGATATAGGTTACATTGGCATGCTTGGCCAAGGGTTAGCAGCTTTTATTTTGAAAATTTCCAAGGTCACTTCATAGCAAACTTTTTAAGTCGACTGGAATTTTTCTTCAGACTTGAAGAAGGTGGGGCTGAGAAAAAAGCTCCCTTAATATTGAAGCCATATTGTCAGCATTGGTCAAAAGTCATATAGCCTTAGAATGGATAAGGGCATGTTTACGGGGATGTATCAGCTGAGACCACTCTGCCTCAAATTTCAAGGAAATCTGATGTAAAGCTTTAAGTATTATATGCATGAAACGTCAATCACCAAGGAGAACAAAGCAGGAAGTATCATTTAGAAGACATCTGAAGGCAGCCCTGTCTAGGGAAGTTTTTAATGTTTAATTATGTTTTTGTTTATGCTGGAAGCCGCCCAGAGTGGCTGGGGCCACCTAGTCAGATGGATGGGGTGCAAATAATAAAATGATGATGATGATTCAATCATGGGCGTAGCCTGGATTTTTATGGGAGGGGCAGAACCAAGCTATCTGCGATGTGACTGGTCAGTGAAGTATTTTTATATATTTACTTGATTTGGGGAGGGGGCCTTGGCTACGCCCATGGATTCTACCTATACTGTACTCAGCTTTGCTCCCTGGGACCGGGATTCAAGGCAGCTGACGCGAAGCAAGACAGAGAAAATACAAAAAGCCAAAGGAACACGAGTGAACAGCAGAGCACCCGCACAAACAACGCTGACACGAAACGCCACATATATTAAGTAAAATAAAAACATCACCACCCGACCCCCACCCCCACTCATCTTTCCCTCTCTCCACCTCTTTCCCCCTATTCTTCCTAATGTCTCAACAAATGAAACCGATTTGTTTTTTTTTTAAGTGTTACGTGGAAAAAAAATACGAGAGAGAGACACTGCACATACCTTTGTAAATCAAGAAAATCTTTAATAAGAATACATTAAAAACAAAGAAAATACAAAAAGCTAAAAACATGACATGTAATGATTAAAAACTAAACCGAATCAAAACAAATTACTGTATTAAAATACTGCTACTAAAAACACGGCGCAGCCCTTTCCTTAAGGAAAATAAAAACAGTAAAGAGACAGGAATCTGGAGAGGAAACGCGTAGGATTTCGCTTGGGGCGTGATGGAAGCTGCGCCCACGGACCAAATAGTGGAGCTCTCAACGCAGCTTACGGCGCCCTCGCCAGGGCAGGAAAGGCGGCCGCGGCGGGGCGGACGGTTTTTCCGATTGGCCGGTCTCCGCGCGGCAACCAGGAGGCGCCTCTTCCCGCCCTCAAGGAGGAGCCTCCTCCAGCCGCGCGCCAAGTTCGTATCTTGCAGCCGGACGCCGACCGCGCTCCGCTTCTTGTTCTCGGCCTCCTCCTCCGCCGCCATGTGCTCCGTGGTCCCCGGCTACTCCCCCGGCTTCAAGAAGCCTCCCGAAGTGCTGCGCCTGAAGAGGAAAAGGGCGCGGAGAAGCGACGCGGAGCCCGGCCACTCTCCCAGCGCGCCAGCCTCCGCCCCTTGCGCGCTGGGCGGCTCGGCTCTGTCCCCTCGGCCCTACCCGGGGAGCCGCAGGCGCAACCCCTTCTCGAGCCTGGAGAACAGCCCGCGCCCGCCGCCGGGGACAGGCCAGTCCCTCTCTCCGGCCCGGAAACCGAGGGCGGGCGGCGCGCCCAGCTGCTCCCGCGCCCAGGTAAGGCGTCGCGATGGACGGAATTCGGAGCCTTCGGGGCGGGAAAGCGCTGCGTTGCAGATCGCCGTTTCCCTCTTTCCTCCTTTTTTGTCAAAACAAAAAAAAATTCCTTCCAGTAGCACCTTAAACACAGTGTATCTGAAGAAGTGTGCATGCACACGAAAGCTCATACCAAGAACTAACTTAGTTGGTCTTTAAGGTGGTACTGGAAGGAATTTTTTTTTGTTTTGACTATGGCAGACCAACACGGCTACCTATCTGTAACTCCTTTTTTGTGTTTGCTAATGTGCACGCCCCGCCTCCGAATTTAAACTCTTCGATTATCATAGGGCAGCCAAAACGCATTATTTATTTGGATCGTTTCGAAACGGATTGGTATTAAGACCGCTTATCGAAATGCTATAGTGACACGATATTATTATTATTAATATTGCCGGTAATTTTTTTGGGAAATATTCAATAACTTGGTAAAAGCGCCTTGGTGATACTTCTTGATAGAAAAGGTGGCGCATACATTATTCTAATAATATTTATGCGGGCAAGCACATGGAAGGAGATGTAACATCGGGATCAGCAGTAATCAAGCAGGATCCTAGGTTGTGCGAGATTAAATGGTGGAGTCTTTACCTTTCATCCAAGAAACTTAGCCAGGCACACATTCCATTGTGCACTTTACACGCAAGTAGACCAGCAAGGCACCCCCCTCCTATAAATGTCACCTATACAGTGTCCCCAAACTTCAGCCAGTTACTGGTTACGGTTTTCCTTCGGGAAACAAAAAAAAATTACCTGTGGCATATAATGTCCTAGGAATGCATTGAGTTGGGGTGTGTTTACTACACCAGCCAATGTTAGTAGATTGGGATAATAACAACACCTCACGCTTATAGGGGAATGGTTAAGAAAATGTTAAGTATCTGTTGACACAAACCATGTAATGTTGTTGGGGGACATTTTTCTAACCTAGGCCACGTTTTTTAATTGGGTTAGAAAAACAGTCCACAATTGTTATGTATTTTTGTTACTATGTTACATATTTTGTGTTTTTATATAGTAAACCACTCTGTAATCCTTGGATGAAGAGCAGTATAAAAATTAATAAGTAAATGCAGATTAATAAAGCATGCCCATTGATACTTAAGGCAGTGTTTCCCAACCGGTGTTCCGCGGCACACTAGTGTGCCGCGAGATGTTGCCTGGAGGGAGGCGGGCGAGGGCGTTTGCTTCCCGGAGGACGGAGCGAGGGCGCCCCCTGCTGGGCCGGGGCTCGCTCTCCCCAGAGGGTAAATCTGGATCAAATGGGGCGAGGGGCGGGCAGAATTCTGGGGGCCACTGATGCCCTACAGACCCCCCCCCCAAGTCCTCCGGGGCGCGCGCTCTGCTGGGCTCTTTTCGGTCGTCGTGCTTGTGGGAAGCCGCCCCTTCCCTGGGCGACGCGCCACCTCGCGACTCCGGAGTCAGTCCCGCGGGCTCTCGGAGGGACTCGCGAGCGACGGCGCGGCGGCTCCAGGGCGCGCTCAGCCGGGCCGCCGCGCGCCCCCGCGCAGCCCTGCTGCAGCTGCCCGGCGTGGAGCGCGACGCGGAGCCGGCTGGGCTTGGAGGCGCCCAGGTAGGGCCGGGCGGGGGCGGGGAGGTCTCGGTCTGCTGCGGGCGCAGGAGGGAGAGGGGGAGCCGTCGGGTCTCCTGGAAGGAAGCGAGGCGGCGGCTGAGGGGGATGCAGCCCCGTCCCCAGCAACAGGCGCTCCTCGAAGTGAGGCCACAAGTCGGGGCTCGGACAGGGCCTGGAAGCAGCGGCTCCGGCTCTTGGGAGCGGAGAAGGGGACTTCGAAAGCGGCCTGGAGGAGAAAAGCCCCGATGCAGCGAGAGCGGGGAGCGTGCTGCCTTGTCCAGGCCTCCTCGCTTTGTGCCGTCCGCTGCCGGGAGCAGGACACGGGGGCTCCTCGTTCGCATGCTTTCCCGGGTGATCGGTGAGGGTTAGGGTTAGGGTCCCTCAGTCCCTCGCTTTGCTGCCTCCTCCCCCCCCCACCCCCAAAGCTTGGAGGTTCCCCGGCAAGGGGGAGGGAAAAAAATTGAAAGTTACACTTTCGTGCGTCCCTCCCGGCGTGACGCTGCGCGCTGACGTCACGGGGCTGTAATGGTGGTGTGCCTCGAGATTTTTTTCATCAAACAAGTGTGCCTTTGCCCAAAAAAGGTTGGGAAACACTGACTTAAGGGATTACATAATAATATCTAGGCTTGAACTTTGCAGAGTGACAGAATTTTAACCATTTTTTAATTAAAAAATCTTATGCTAAACACTGCAGTGGATTATTTTATTCACTGTTCATTGAATCTTTGGTGTTCTCTTAACTTTGAAACTTTTTCCAGTTTTTAAATGGTCTGCAAGACGGCGAGTCTATCTGGAAAGAAGAGTTTTCTGAAGCAGTATCTGTTGACTCATTGATCAATGTAAGAATCATTGCAACTGTTAAATATCCATATATGAGAATATTGGATTTATTTTATCACACAGGGCTCAAGCCCGTTGCCTTTTGAATGCACCCCCACTAATCACACTCCTCCCGTGGGGGTGACTTCGTGGCAGAAAGCTGCACTCGTAGAACAGCTTATTTATTCCTAGTGCTGTGAATAAGGATGCAGCTGAAATTGGGCCCCTTGTGATATTCACAGCAAGGCAAACATAAAAAATGCAACTGTGTATGTGGAAAGGGAAGGCTGCAGTTTTTGCTGGATGCTTGAGTCATTCATGCTGCTTGGGACATGTTCAGAGAAACTGACGGGGGGCTGATAGTGTGTGCTCTTTTCTACAGCACTAGGGTACACCTATTATACTTTTTAAAAAGCAACA